CAGCTCTTGTTGTTGCAGCACAAACACCACCTTGCCTCACTTTCTGCCTGCATCTCTTATGGTACCCTTGGAGTTTCTATTCCTTTAGCTGCCCCTCCACCTCTCCTTGCTCCTCCTTCCATCTGATTGCTTGTTAGTTGGTATGCAGCCTCGAACCCCCATTGCGCGTTCCTTGCCTGTCATCACTCTCTTCCTCCATCTCCCTCTCTCTCCTCATCTTTTTTCCCAGCCACTCATGTCCACTCTTTATAACAAATAGGAGGAAAAACAGTCGCACAGCTGCAAAAGGGCAGCAGATGCAGCCTCTTTAAAGAAGATAAACAAATTGCAGCAAACATAAAAGGAGAATAGACTTGTTTTTTGGGTGAGGGAATACTTTGCTTAAAGGGGAAACTTAAGAGAGATAAAGAGCAGTGAGACAGGATGGAAAAGAAAAGGAAAATGGAGGAGGGGCAACAGTAACGATAATATATGGATGGGGGCTTGCTAGTGGCATGACAAATGGGTCTCAAGTGACAGAATATTATATTAAAAAGTAAATTGATATGCAAATGTGGAGTGTGTGGCTTTTGGAGGACGGGGATAGCCTGTTGTCCTCGCTGAAGTAGAACAGAGGCAGAGAGAAAGGTGAGAGCTGGGGTTCTGATAGCGATACAGCAGTCCATTAATGTGTGTGTTTTTGTCTCATTGGTGCAAGAGTGTGTACTTTGTGTCAGGGTTGGATGTATAACATGTGCAAAGCATGCTAAGTTTGGTGAAGCTGGCTGATGACAAAGTGGGGCAAAAATGTCTCCCCCTATAGTTGGTGGTGTTCACACCACACAACAGGAGCTCAAAGGGTGATGTTAGCGGCAGTGAAATAAACAAATTACCTTCTGTGACACATGATCAGCACAACACTTTAACTGTGTTGTATATTTATTTCTGCGGAAGAGGTTCAGTAAGGTTTGATCATGTTGTTATAGCATAAAGGTCAAACTGATAGTAGATAATGTTTGAGTCCTTCTCTAATCTAACTAACTGCTATTTATTTTACTTACTTTTCATAAACATTTACTGAACCTGCTTCTGGCAAAACAGGACTGTGTAATTGAAATAAAGATTTTACTTCAGGCACAGGAGGAGCCTCACCTGGGATTGGTCAACCTCTTGCTAACTGCACTGGCTGCCATTCTATGGGAGCATGTTCCTCCTGTTTGTACATCTCCAACAAAATGGTTATAAAACATGTAATGTACGAACCGATTTTCCAGAATTTAGCTCATGTATATAATGTACAGTGTTTTTTGTCACCAACTGTGTGTGTAACGTGCTTTGTGTGCTGAGTAGTGATCAGAAACGGCAGACAACAGATTCGAGGTGAGGCAGGTAGTTCTCCTGCCTCATGGCAGGCGGCGCTCATGAGCCCAGACGTTGTGACTCCACAACTGCAGAATAAGAGACAGTATCAATGAGCTAGCCATACAGTAAAGTCAAGTGCAGTGATATATTTATAGTTTTCTCCTCGTACCACAGCAATCACTTATTAATAATCAAAAAATTACACATTAAGCTTAAAACCACAGTACTTCAACAGACTGAATGTTCTGCTGTTTTTGTGAGAAATACTTCAGTATTTTTTGTAGGGGTGCTGTTGTCATTTGCTATGGCAATGACTCTGCGTGTAGCCTGGCCAAGACAGAGAGCGAGAACGACGTGGTTTTGAGTTGTACTTCAACGGTTCTTCCCTTTGCTGTGCAGCACAGCACGAAATTAATGACATCTATGTTTCCAAGTTTGTTTGAGTTAATGGAATTATTCTACGGCAGCAGCGCAGCTATGCATGACATGCAAAAGAATTGTCTTTTTACCCTGCAGAGTTTCCCACATGTGCAAAATTTCCACATGCAAATAATAACGTGCAGGTGGGCTACATTTCTATGTCTGATTATGATTAAATCAGTGCCTCACCAGCTTTGCCCCTCACTGCACTTATCTGATTTCAATAGCCGGGTAAAATCTGCTTTAATAATCATCATGAGGCTTCATGTATTTTGTAAGACGACACTGAATTAAAGACTAGTATGCCAAAGTCAAAAACATCAACTTAAGTTAAAGGTACTTTTGATTAGCGTAAGGTACTAAATAAGCTAAATACACCTAATGAGGCTAATAATTAAACTTATTTTAGTAAGTCACGTAACTCTTAAATGTAAATTGGAATGGGCTTAAAAGAGTAGGACACAGTTTTAATTTTGATGTTCTGAAACTTGCTGAAATCTTGTGGGCAAGTAAGAAATAGAAATGGGAAAATAAGTATGTATATTGGTGGAAAATGATCGCCATATTGTCCTCCTGAGTCCAATTCTAGTGTGTTTAACAGATGAACTAAAGGTCAGCTGCATTCAGTTAAAAGTATTAAATAGCTGTTTGGAACATATACACCCAGACGCAGCTGTCGGGGGAAACAAAAAAGCATGTCCGTGTCAGATTTTGCGCCATGGTTAAGACTGCTGCGTTAATGAGTCATGACACTTCTAACTGGAGAGGAGGAATGAGCTGCTCTCTAATTACTATGGAAATGTGTTCATTTCCCATCAGACACACATATACATATGCAGCCATGCACACAGTGAGTCACGCACACACATTAACACACCCAGCAGTGGCGGAGGGTAGAGGTGGGGGCTATTTCCGACAGGTTTTGCAGAACATGTGCACACATACGAGTGTGTGTCTTTATGTATGACTTTGCCTCCCTTGGGGGTTCTCACAGTCGGAGCAGAGGTGTCACCCATGTCCCCGTTCCCCATATGTTTTAACACACATGGCCCAGAGCACTGAGTATATGAGAGTGGAAGTCAAGGGGGTAATGATAGTCCCTTAGTGTTCGGCTAGCTTGATCTCAGCTGATAACCAGGTGGGACCAAATGAGCCCTTCTTAAGAACATTATCCCCCCCGCCTCTTTATCCTCAGACACCAACCAGCAGCCTCCACCATTATGCACATGTGCCTGCGTGCGTGTGTGTGGGTGTGTGTATTCCCAATGCAGCTTATTGATGTTAGAGCAACAGCAGGCCTTCAGCTGTGTAAAGTCAACAGAAGAACTAAACACCAAACGAGTGAGTGCTGCTGAGCGTAGTAAGACCCCGGATTTTCCCTGTTTCTGCTCCGCCATCTCATTCTCAGTCAAAGCAGGCACCCCCGTCTCCTCCGTTTTCTTCTGTCCATCTTCATCTCATTTCTCCACTCCTTTTCCTTATCAAATCTTTCTCTGTGTCTCAGTTTTCGCTCCTGTCCTTCTCTCTGCTGATTTCTTAAATCACATACTGCGTGTACCATAGATTCCCAGTTACCCCTGGTCCTGAGCTCAAATCAATTTATCTTCTCGAAGGACAGGTATCCTGACTAGATGCTTTGCTCCCTGTGCCAGGAGACCTGCAACCTTAAACCAGCTGTCTGCTGATAGGGAAAACAAAATGACCTTTAAGAAATAAAGAATGAACCACCAAGTAAGCACTAATGGCAAACAAGCATCTTTCACGTCTATTCAGTTTATTTAAATAGTGACAATTCACAAGACACTTCATCCCAAAAGATTTTAATTCAATCCAATCATGCAACCAGATTCACAGTCCAGTGAATACTTTTCAAATGGATTCTACTTATCAAACAATACTGAGTTTAGTTTATCATTCACATTAGTACAATATTTTTCAATCCAAGAAAAAACAACAGATTTCATTGAGTCTCTGACTTGCAGCATTAACTCTACGTGGATCATATAGCGATAGTAGACAATTGTTTGCGTTTGTGCAACTTGAGTCATTATCCTTCTTATCTTGTTGCTCTTTTGTCAAATTGTTAGTTTAAATATTTTCTGTTCCTTAAATAAAAAGGACGAGACAAGCAGCGGTAAGCTAGTGCATGTTTTACATTCATGCTTTCTTCAGAATTTAAAGCAGATCCCTAAATGTTGGAGATTTCTTTTTTATTAATTTACTAGCTGATTATGCCTCTTAGCAGTGTTTGACAGAGAAGCTGCTAACAAGAAGAGAAAAAAACACCCATACAAACACGTTTCCTGGCAAAGGATCCCCACTGCGAGGTCTGCAGAACAGAATAAGTTAAACACATCCTCACAGCTGCACTACAGGACTTAGTTGATCAATTTGTCAGTATTTCTGTATTGATCTTTTGACTGACCCATGCCCAAAGGCGTGCACAAGTGTGCTGACGCAGGTGTGTAACACACACTCGTGGGTCCATATTTGTGTATTTGATGCTCGTGGTTAGACTGGTAAATCAAAAGATGTTTTATTTCTTTCAATGCACAATTTTGTGGCACAAACATTCCTTCTTTTTTAACCAAACATCACGAGTGTAAGGTCAGGGAAAGGCAAAACCAATGATTCAAGGAATGTATTACTTTATTTTTGTATTTTAAATAAACAGTCATAAAAAGTCATTTTTTTCATTTTTAACCAAAACAGCTAAAAACACATAGTTTGAAGCCTTTTCTGCACTAATTCACACTGAAATTGTCACATAGGAAGAGAAAACCAGCAAAAATTGTAATATTCATCCAGAATACATATCTGTCAGTCAGCTTACCCTTTAACCATTATTTTACCATCCTTTGTAAAATTGTTTTTACTAGCTTTTAACTCATTGCAAACTATTCTTTGATTTAGCTGCAATATGACCTCAACTGAAACCCAAATCAAATTGGCATCAATCATAAATTACCTTCCTGTCTTGAAGACGTATTTCCATTTTAAAAACTGAATAGAACAAGGATGTATGTACAACATGAAAATATTGATGTATAGAAGGATGTGTTGTAGGAAGCTTTACTCGTTAGTCTTTTTGATCTATAGTTTGGGTAAGGGTCTACATAAAGCATGATGTAGTATTGCATCATCTGCAAACATTCAAGTGGATTTTCAGTCTTATCAAACTGCTGGAGAACTGTCATTACCTTCCAGGTTGAAAACACAACCATGCATTTCTGTTTCAGACACTGTGGATACATAAAGGCCAAGCAGGACCCCGATGAAGAAAAGATGCAATTCCAACATGGCCGAGGTAAAGACACAAATGTGTTCACACTCTCATAAATAAATGAAGGAATCGTTTCTTGGTGACATTCATCTTAAAACCAGACTTTACACCCACTTGAGATGAATCAGTTCCGTGCTGCATGTGGAGCTGGAAGCATTTGACTGAGGGAGGAAAAGCTTGATGTGACAACGCTGTGTAACACAACTTGACTCTGTTTGTTTATTTGTGTACAAGAGCACTACTTTCTTTGCTTGTCTTATTGCTGATCATAATTGAGTTATAGAACAAGCCCCGGATCTCTGAGTGCGCAAACTTCGCAGCTCAATCAAAGTCATTGTTTTTCACAAAATCTTACATAAATGTCTTCTGGCAGAGTGCTGCTCCATATGGGCTCCTATTAAAATTATGACTCATTTTAGCACCATTGCTGATGAATTGTCTAATTGTGTTATTATGTGTTACATCATATGGAGAGCATCCACAATAAAGCTCCAGTTTCAGCAAAATGGGATGACCTTGTTTGAAAAACACAGAATTCATGATTTGCAGTAGCAAAAAGCTTTTTCCTACGTGTGTAACATCAATCAGAAGTTTTCTAAACCATGCTTTGGATGATTTTTATCTGGAAAGTAAGTAATGTCTATATTTTTCTCTCGTTTTCCTCCAATGCAGTGAAGCTTCCAGGCAGCAGAACATACATTCATCCTCACACCTACGAAGACCCAAACCAAGCTGTCCGAGACTTTGCCAAAGAGATAGATGCTTCCAACATTCGCATAGAAAGAGTCATCGGAGCTGGTGAGTTGGCATCGAAGCATTGTAGAATTACTCAGAAATCTGTTCAACATTACATTCAATATGTACATGCTTATTTACTTTGTGAGCACATACAGTTCCTTTCAGAACTATTCACTGCCCAGACCTAAATTCAATTGAGAATCTGCTCCCGGACTTTAGAGTTGCTGTGTACGGACACTTTCTGTCTATTCTGACTGAATTTGAGTTGCTTTGCAAAGAAAAATGGTCAAACATTTCACCCTTTACATGCACAGAACAACTTGGGGCATATCATAATAGATTTTTATATTTTTCACTGTTACTGCATTTTTGTGTCAGGGGGGCTGGATACCAGTTCACTAAGCAGTTTAAGCATTTTGTCTTATAATGTATTTTTAAATTCATGAGCTATTTCACCTCTACAACTACTTTGTGTAGTTTTTTATTTACTTTTTGTTTTCTTTTGCCTGAAATATCAATTCACAAATGTTAGTTTGAAATGTCCTTTCATAAGCAAAAATGTAAGGACTTTGTGTATATGTATAATATTAAATGATTCATTTGACATTTGATCTTTCGTTTGTGTGTTTGTGCAGGAGAGTTTGGGGAGGTGTGCAGCGGTCGCCTGCGTGTTCAGGGGAAGAGGGAGATCTACGTGGCCATCAAGAGCCTGAAGGCCGGATACTCAGACAAACAGAGGAGGGACTTTCTGTCTGAGGCGTCCATCATGGGACAGTTCGACCACCCGAACATCATCAGACTGGAGGGTGTCGTCACCAAATGTGAGTGGACACGTAAAAAAAAAAAAAAAAAAAAAAACTCCCCTTTTTTTCATTATGCTTTTCTTTTTAATCAGATTTATGTCAAATCATGCAAAGCTCTTAATTAATTCCTCTCCATATGAGTGGGTGTGGATGTCTGTCTGTCACATACCTGTTTGAAACACAACACATGTGGCATTGATGTGAATAAGAGCTGACCTTGGATCAGATAAAAGCCCCATTACCATGGCAACACAGCGGTGACGCATGGCATGGCGGCGTGCGCGTGATGTAACTGTCCACCACTCAAATGGCCACTTGTTTACTTCACATGATTGTGTTTGAGCAATTAGAGGCAGCGTGTGTGTTGCTGATGCAGGTGAGACAGGCAGGCGCAGGCCTGGTTCAACAAGATAGCCGATTTGTTATCGCTGCTCTCTCCAGCCATCCTGCTTTCATGCCGCTATCTCGAACTCCTGCTTTCTCTCCCAGTCGGTGTCCATCTAATCGTCTCATTCAGTCTCTCATTTTTTCTCTCTCTGTGTTACTTTCTGTCTAATTTTTCCATTCTCACTTTATCGTTCTGTTTCTTCTGCACTTTCAAATCTCGACTTGTTAAATTGGCGACATATGAATGTCTTTGTCCTGTTTTGCATAATACTCAATATTGGTTCTACAACTCGCCCAGTTATAGGAAAACACTAAAAATATGGTTTTGTAAATTGGTATTCCTGCCAACTGAAATCAGAAACAGCAAAAATACAAGTTTTGTGTGATTCTTCACAAGAAATAGGAGCAAATAATGATAGGTCTGAAATTATAGCCGTCATTTTGTGGCTCCAATTCACCCACCACACATGATAGTCTTTGCAAAAAACAAGCATGGGAGTTAAAATGAGAAACGTATTGGGTAGTAAATCTAAAAAGACAGCACCACTCTGTGTTCAGGGCTGGAATGCAATGAAGAACATTTCCTGAAGTACAACTTTAAAGGACCAGAGTTTAAAAAATCCTGCTATAATTTTTCTTCCTCACTTTGAACCGCAGAGTCATTCTTTCCATTCTCTACAAGGCCTTTGAACACACAGCTTCAATTACTACTTATTTTTATGACAAATGCTTCTGGAGAGCTTTTCAAACTGTAAAAAAGTCAAAGAAAGTTTCCACATTTTGACTGGCATCACTAGCTTGTGCTAATTTCACCCATACACGCGTTCCAAGGATGAAACACGCAGCATCCGCCACACTTTCCTGCACCTGTACCAACCGACAGTGGCCTATAATGCAAAACCAGGCAATATTTTAGTCTGATTTCTCCATTATTAGTAAATAATACTTTAACAATGAAAAAAACATGTTATATTATTACATCTTTGTAATATTTAAAAATAAAACATTAAAAAACCTCCACCCATGTTTATTTTTTTGCTAATAAGCATGGATCTGTTTAATTGCACAAGGTCACATAAGATTGCTAAAGGAATGCACTTTGCTACTGAATGTGTTTAACATTTAACTTTAATCAACTTGCAAGAAGGATTGTTTTGTAACTACAGTACAACAAGTGCAATACAAAAAATCTGCCAACAAATGTACCTATCTACCTCCAGTGATTAAGCATTAAGGGGTGCTATACATCTTTACTTTATTATGATGCCATTCTCCTTTAAAACATCCCAAAACTACGCAGAAATAAGTGCCACTTGTGTGAGCACATTCAGTCTCTTTAGATTAATGATCTAAAGCACTGTACATTCTCTGTATCCCTGTGCTCTTCCTGTTACTCAGCATGAGCCGCTCCATCATTCTTCTGATCTGACATCTTGTTATGCAGATGTTTGCGCGAGGATCTAGACGCAAACAAAGAAAGCGGGATGGAGAGAGGCGGTACAAAGAAGCAGGATTTTTGAACATGCAGGGAGACGAACGAAGCTCCGCTTTTGCCCCCCACTCCCCCGTCGCCCAACCCCGCTGCCACACACACTCAGATCTTTAGTCCTTCACGCAGAAGTGCTCTACAGCACCCGGGCCAAACAACAAAAGAGCAAACGAATATACGCCTGCATCGACCATGAATATTTATACTTGGGGAAAGTTAATTGGCTGTGTTTTTAGCCTCATGAATATTCAGCAGCATGTGTATTATGAATGACACCATACTGAGCTTCTTATTAATTCCTTCCTATTGTTTCACTCCCTTTCTTCCTCTTCTTGGAGATATTAAAAAGGCACGCAACACGTAGACATGTAATTATGGCAAAGTCGCCTGAGAAACTCACAAGTCTAATTTGAAACACCAAAATAAATCCAATAATTACTGCGAAGAGCTTGAAGATTTTTGACAGTAATGACATGGTTGACAGCAGAAACAGCTAAATAACTGAAAAATGACTTGACAAGCAATTTATTTCAGCGTAATAAAGTTCTCTGTAGTGTTCTCTGAATGCGATTATTTTTGTTTGTGCGTCTCCGTTGTTTCTCCATACGTAATGAGTGCTTGTCTCTTCTCCACATGCGTCTCTTTGTGTCCCTTCTCACCTGCCTTCACGGCACATTGACGAGCTGATAAAGCCCTGCAGAAACAAATCTCACTAGCAGAGCAGTAATTTCACAGGTCACAGCTCAGGGTGTGCATGTGCCATCCAAAGGGGGTGAGAGTTGAGATGGGTCAATAATTTCTTCAGGCCCCCTTTTCTCTGGCCGCAGCTGGTCCTCTCACACTGCCCTCACTCTAATCAGACAGGCCGACCTGATTGCTCTGGACTCAGGTGTGCTGGATTGGTTTGTGTAGGTGTGAGTAGAAGTGGACGCCGTAGTAGTATTGGTTTAAGTTGGACTGGGAGTAATTGCTTTTCTGCTGTGGTGGGAGTAGGAGCTACGTTGAAGCTAGTTCAGCAAAACCTGTAAAATAAATAAATAAATAAATGCTGAAGTAGCTCTGATACGATATCAAGCAGGAGGAGCTTGTAGACTTTTGATCTTACTAGCAGAGATTGAAGTTAAGTGAAAAAAAAACTGAAAAGCTTTGTTGTTAATACAATAAAACTTTAAGTGGGGCCTAGTCTGATATGATTATTATGAAGCTCATGCCTCGTAAGGCTAATTAAGGTATAAATATTTACAGTTTAATAAAAATGGCATGTCAAAAAATTTATCTTTCTTGGTAATTAGTGGAAAATACTCTGTTAGCATGGGAATAGTCAGATCTTTCTTATAATTGCTGACAAGCTTTTTACACATGATTGCTTTAATTTTGATAATTTACCTTCAGTGAGCTAAAAGTGTTTGAGTTTGGAAAGCTTTCTTACTCACCATTGCACTAAAATGATTCCTTTTAGTAATTAAAAGCTTTCAGTTAGAAGAAACGTCTTGGTAAATTTAAAAGTTTACTTTAAATCTAAAAATGCCAGGAGTATAATTCAGGACATAACCATATGCGAACTAATCCAACCTGGACAAAAATATTCCACTGTGATTAAACCCATGTAGCCTTTATTATTTTTATGAAAATATAAAAACCTTCCCTTATTTTTCCAAAATTATTCTTCTCATAATGCCTTTTGAGCTGGATGTATGGCCACTTATCTAATCAGTATACTACATAAGAAGTTTTGTTAATGGTAGTGCAGAATTAATCTTTTTTTTTTTTTTTCATTTAGATTGTATTGTATTAATAGCAGCTTTAAAGTTACATCCAGCTCTTTCAATCTATTTTTGCCTGTGGTAACCAAGTTGTAGTAGTTATTGGAGCAATAGTTTTGGTAATTGTGCTAGGATTGTGTATATGCATGAATCTCTTTCTTAACTGAATTTCCCACTTCCAGCTGCTCTGCTTGCCTGCATGCATGTGGGTGGGTGAATGTTTTCTGCTTAAAACCTCATAAGCCCCCAGCCGCTGCCATGTGCAGCTCTAATAACCTACTCCGCTGTCTGTCACCTGATTGTTGCCATTCTTATGCTAATTAGACCACTGCATGCAGAAAAAGTCCCTCTTTATCTGGCTTTTTACACATAACGAAAGTGCAGCAATCTGCCCTCATCCGCTCATCCCTGCCCCCCAAACCCTTCCTCTCACTCTTTTTATCTTTCCTTTATCTCCCCAGTCCCTCATTTCATCCATCCGTCCTTTATGTGTTGCACAATCACTGCAACAATCGGCTCATTTGGAAAACCCTCAATTACAGGACTCAATCTCATCTGACACACACGCACGCATGCAGCCATTGAAGGGCTTGTCTACAAAGGTGCTGTTAAAACTGGCAAAGTCGTGTTTTCCAGGCGTCTTCTGTTTGAAGAAACTAGTGATTGGATTTAACTGCGTGTCTTTGTCCGCCAAACAATAAGCGTCTCAGTGTTTCCTGTCAGAGTGTTTTAAAGTATTCATGCTTTGAATAGACATGGAGATTTGAAGATTGCAAAGCACAGGCAGGAAACGGGACGAAGGAAAAGGTGACGACAGGTACGGGACGGCAGGAAGAACGGGGCACAGATAGATGAGATAACGTACAAGAGTGAGGAATTGAGAGAAGATGAGGCTTGAGTTTAAATGATGGCGGCATGGAAAGAGGGGAGATGCTGTGGAGACAAACGTGAGGAAATGAGAGGAGAAGAGAAGTAGGAGGAGAGGTGAAGAGAGGAGAGAAGATAAGGTTATTGAGTTTCTGTCTGTCCGTGTTCTCCACAGCCCCCACAGCCTTACATGGCACTTCCCAGAACAGAGATCTGCCCTGTGTTAAAAGCTTTGTATCATTTAGTCCAGGCCTTTAACATTAATCAATGCAGAAGTTATTTCATTTTCTCATTTGTACCTTGGGCCGCCTCATTCAATAAAGCAGTAATGTGGCCTAGTGGCACATGCACAGATATCTACTCGTAATGTAATTGTCCGGATGTATACAGACTCTTTCGCTTTCGTTTGCACTCACACCAACGCAAAGTAAAACCGCCTCTCATAATTTAATTTACTGGACTGCATGCTTAGCCTGCAGGCTGATAAACGCATTCACACATAGGTGCCACTCCTAAATGATTAGGCCATTATCAAAGGACGGCAGCCTTTTTCTCGACCACCATGATAAAGTACTGCGACACACTGAAAGCTTCTTTCATGACTGCTGCATATCAAGCTAACAGGTAAAACATCAAAACTAGAAATCCACTAAACCGAAATTTGGAGCCCATTCCAAGTCTCATTTTTTTATAGAGCATTGATCTACCTTTTATTAAAGTTTAAAACAAATCACATTTACTCCACAAGAAAACAGCATTGAAAACACTGCTTGACTTACTGCTGTGAAAAATTTGGAGATATTTAGATTAAAAGCAGAGAGAATTGGTTTAGGAATGCTTCATTTCCAAAACAGATGAAAGGTAATAGCTATTCAGTGAATATCAGTGTGATCAGTTAATTATGTTGTAGCTCCATGACATCCTAAAGTGGGCAAAGTTCTGTTTGTGTGTGTGACTGTGGGGTTTAAAGCCTTTTCTTTGAAGGTACCAGATGTAAAAGGGATTGACTATGTTCTCAAAACGTCTGCATTAGTGTGATTTTCACCACACAGAAAAGACAAAACAAACTAATGTAAGCCCTCAGATATCTGCTGCTCCTTCTATCTTTTAAGGGTGTTGTTCTCAGAACAGATGCCAGATTATCGCTATAGACAGCATGTGTGTGAGAACACACTCAAATCTTGTAGCTGTCTAAGCCCAGACAGCAAGATGAATGTGTTTCATTGTCCTTCTCTCTTGACCAAATCTAACACCTTGAACCCAAAGGCAATATCCAATGTCACCTGCATGTGTGGTCCCCAACACACACTAACTCACAGAATTGTTTTTTAAGGTATTTTTAAAGTGTTAACTTTTTACGGTGTAACATGTGCATGCAGTTCAAAACACATGTATCCACATTTACCGCACGCCGACAAGCACTGAAACAAACGTGCACATACTAACAGGAAAGCAGCGAGGAGTTGGCTGTCCTTTCAGTTAGCATTAGACCCATCTACTGCTCCTTATGCATGCTGAACACACAAATGTTCTCCCTCTCTAAACAGAGCTCAAATCAGCCTGTCATTAAAGCACCATCCGTCCCTTCATGCCATGGCCTGAAACTAGCTCTCTTTCTCCAGGACACACACAGACACACACGCACGCCTACACACACACACAGAGGCTCTGTGTGGAGATAAATGTGACCAGCAGTCCTCACCCCCAGCAGAAGAAAATCCAATTCTCTTTCACTTTTATCCCTGAGACTAATGTTACTGTCAAAGAAGACACCACCACTAGAGACCAGGCGACTCTGTTTGTGTGTGTGTGGTGTGTGTGGGTGTGTGTGTGTGTGTGTGTGTGTGTGTGTGTGTGCGTGTGTGTGTGTGTGTGTGTGTGTGTGTGTGTGTGTGTGTGTGTTTGTGTGTGTGTGTGTGTGTGTGTGTGTCTGTTTTCTGCAGTAAGATAGTGAATTCATTTAAAGTGATGTATTGCTGTCTTTACCTACAATCTAACTGTAGGCCTTGGTGGTTTTGTTGCTGCCCATCTATGACAGGCATGTGTCCGGCCTCCTCCCTCAAGTCCCTCTGTTCTCCTCTCTCCCTTCTTGCCACTTCTTGTTTTGTTTTTTCGGGGGGGGGGGGGGGGGGGGGGGGGGTTTGTCATTGTTCTTTTTTTCATCTGTTCCTTCATATGTTTTGTCTGCTACCTTCTTTCACCTATTTAATTTCTCATTCTTTTTATGTGTTTTAGTGTTTTATTACAGTTTTACTTATGTAGTAGTCATAATTTTTATTCACTTTTGATTCAAAGACATACAGCGTTTGCATAAATGTGTGTGTGATTCATAGATACAGTAAAGCACATGTCATATTCCATCTTGCGTCTTGCAACTTTTAGAAGTGTGACTGTTTTTAATATACCATTGATTAATTAGTCACTTTAATTAAAAGATAATTATGTCAAGAAAACCATCATAAAAATTCAGTCAATTTAGCCGTTGGTGTGTGGACATTAGAAGCCCAATTGAATTTTGAAACATCCACATTGGGAAAATGGTCTGAATTCACTCAAAGTGGGTAAAGTTTATACTTTCATACCATCAGTGCAGAAAGCACTAATGGTATAAAATAGTATGGCATTTGCTTTTATCATTCCCCGTGTCAGAATTACAATGAAAAAAAAAATGAGTATGGAAAATGTTTATTTTTCCACACTTATCTTCCACAAGTATTTTTTTTTCCAATCTTAATTTAAAACCATTTACAAGTCCAAGAGTTGTAGACTTTGAAATGGAGCAGATTTATTTCACTCCTGAAGTCACCAATGTGTAAATATCTCAGTACCTCACTTTGAAAATCAGAGCATTCCTTTTTGGGGAGTCAAGTCAAGTTATGTTTATAAACCACAGAAGTCTCTAAAATCTTTTCTTTGCAACAGAGAGATTTCTTTCACATTGGGAAAAATATAAGAACCATTTAGTATAAAACCATCTCAAAGCTCATCTTAAGTAAATATGCAGAAGATTCTGAAACCTCAAGAACCCTGGAGGAAACTTGACTGTAACAATCTCATCTAAATGAGTACAACCCTACTTTTCAATAACTGCTCTCCCAGACACATAATGTGATACTCCCTCTACTTCTAATCTAAATGATTATAAAGACCACTCACAGCAAGAATGATGGAAAAAAAATAAAGTTGATGTCTCACCTGGTATCAAAAGAAATTAAGAGTGCATTAGCATGTTAGAGCTGTGAACCCCAAAAATGTAAAAAAATGGCACTTGGAGGTTCCATTGCAAAATTGTAATGTAGCTTCTTTTTTTTTTAGGTCCATTTATTATCAAATTATTTTTAGCTCTGCTCATTCTTTGTCTTAGTTTAGACTCATTTACAACAGCCCTCCTTGTCTAGACATCTCTTTTCTTTCTTCCTCCTTATGTTAGGTTGTCTCCCCCAGAATTTTTTTCCCCCTCGCATCATAGAGGTCTGATTTGGGAAATGTGAAGTACTCATTATTGGTGACACGGCCTGTGCGTTTACAAGCCATGCTCCGTCATTTGTAGCTGCACACTGAATGTTTGTTTGGTGATTGGCAATGCCTGACTGCAGGGGGGTCTGGGTGGAGGTACGGTGGTGGAGTGCGGGGGGAGGGTGGTAGCTGTAAACCAGGGACAACTGCTGTTTTTGGTGTGTGTGTGTGTGTGTGCGGGGGTGTGTGCATAGTTGTGATTGCAGGTACTTTGTTAATCATTTGTAAGCCTCACCAGATGCCAAGCAGAGGATCATAGGGTGCGGGGTCTGTCACTCAGGCTCCCCTTCATCACCCGCAAAGTTGCACACAAACACACACTCGTGCAGGTGCACAGCGATCAAACCGCAAGCCCCTCTCTACACCCTGCCCCCCCCCACTTCCCTCGAGGCTGATTAGTATTCATGAGATCTCAGGAGGCTCCCATGCACACACACACACTCACACATGCACATACATATTGTGGTGGATTGGTCTATTCTAATTATCTCCTGGCGTTTATGGAGAGGGCTGATTAGAAGCTGTCAGTGTGACTGATGACGACATACCATGTTATCCCCCTGAGAGCTGCACAGAGACGAAAAGAGAGGATGGTCACAGCTGTGGACTCTGATTCTTTTCTGTCCTCGTCTCTTTATAGTTCATGCGCTTCTCCCTTGTAACTGTGGCTTATTAACAACTGCCCTATATTGTGCCTCTTTTAGGTAAACCTGTGATGATCATAACAGAGTTCATGGAAAATGGGTCTCTGGACACTTTTCTGAAGGTGAGTCTTGTCTCAGCAGGACAGAGCACTGCACTTTCATTTTGTCTTATGGCAGAATCACAACATTTTACCCTGAGATAGTTTCTCAGACCATTATTGAATGTAGCTTGAACTGTTAAAATGAAAAAGGAAAAAAAGCGTAAGTGAAAGCAACATTACAAAATAAACAGAATAAATGATTGTTTATTTTATTTTTGTGACAAATGATTTATTTCTGTGGAGGAATAAATTCAGGCACCACCATTTTTATTTCGACTTAAAATGCAATTATTTCACATGTGGGGGCATATGACTGAAACAGTGTTACTGAATATTTTGAACAAGGTTCCCACTGTTTAAACTTCAGATATTTAGTTATGTGTGCTCCAGAATGTGTAAGAGTAGACACCACAGTAATCTTCATAAAAGAAGATTGGTGACGCTTACAAGTCTTATAAGAGATTTGCAAAAGGCCTCAAAAAGTTTTAAAATCAGCCATTCCACTTTATAAAAAATGCTTTACAATTAAGGGACGTTAAAAACAACCACCAACATGCTTAGATCAGGCTTTCCAAGAGAATTCACCCTTAAAGTAGACCTTATTGAGCTAAAAGAAGTTTCCAAAAACTCTAAAACATCAGATAAAACTTACATGATTGTAACATGAGAAAGACACTAAACGGACATCCATGAGAAGGGTTTAGGGAGGGAACTTTTGCTTTCTAAATTTCAATATAGAGAATGTAGGAATAGACCAAGACATTTGAAATATTGAATATGTCACTACTGCTTCCTACTCAAGTGAAATAAGAAGTTTATCACTAATTAGACGAGTTTAGAAACTCTTATTTACTTAAAAAAGCAAAAGATAAATAAAAAAACGATAATTGGTAACTTTTAATGCAGGGATGCCAATTATTATGCTCTAATAGCTTTTATTTCTTCCCATTCACTGAATAAATGTACTCAAATTAAAGGTTGGACTCTTCAAATTTATTTAGTATGAGAATATGCAGCTGTAATAAAAAAAAATCAATTTACTTTCAAGTTTTTTATGCATTGCTATTAGGGGTGCTAATAAATATCTCCAGCTCTCTGCAGTGTTTGGAAATTCAAAATATGTTTCCAGCTATGATCATCAAAGATCCTGCATTGATTTAACTCGGGAACCTTGGAACACAATTTTGCATCAGCCTAGATAAATGGCACACAGTTCCTGGTGTGCCTCATGTTCGACATTCCCCTGATTCATATTCTGCCTTGTTTGTCAGCCAGTAAAATCACTGCGCTGCTGCTAAGCCATTAAGGCTGTGATGATGGGCCTGTTTCTAAGATCCCATCTGCAGCACCGAAGCACAATGAAGTGACAAGATACAAAACGACTCAAGAATATTGCTCCCAGCCGTCCCTACTCGCTCACACACAATAAAAAGATGCCACATACATGTGTTCTTTTTGTACAATACTAGGTGTTGAAAGGAAGGTCATAAAGTGACTGCAGAGCCTGGATTTTTATGGTTTTAACAGCTCAGCTGTGGTATCTTTACAGTTGTCTTTAATTATGAGCATTTATTAAGCAGAAATCCCTCTGAAGTAACAAAACCAGCTTCCCTCTACTTAGTCCAACACGATCTATCATCTCATAAAGTGCTTTATTTTTTCTTAGGTATGCATTTTATTCATAAAAAAAAATGCTTCTCCTTCTTTTCCTGCCATGCCTCCTCCTTTCTGGCAGTACAGTGTGGTGGGCAGATTGATAGAGGAAGTCTGTAGGTTTGTTAGACAGTCCAATCAATCAGCATCTCACAAAACCACCGGCTAATTAACTTACTCCGCAGCTGCCGAGGGACGAGAGAAAGAAAAAGACAGAAGACAGGAGGGGAGGGGTACATGGACACAGAAAGATGAACGCAGACAGATAGACGGAGGCTGAATCAAAGTGCAACTGAGTTCTTCCCCCTTTCTGCAACAGAGAGCGGGATGAGAAGGAGATGGATGGAGATTACAAAGGGACAGAAGAAGGAGAAATGATATGAAGGAGAGTGGATGACTGATAACATGAATGGCTCTTTAACAGAGATCGTTGACCCAGGCAGGAATAATTGGCAGCGGAAGGTGAGCTGGACCATCATCGATCAACAGGCTGCAAAGTCTTTGCCAACCACAGCTCAGAATCTGAAATCCAAGCAGAGCTGGGCCGACACATGCTTAGCGCTAAAGATGAAAGTTTTGTCTGCTGTTTTTGGTTCAATCCTCTGTAAGTGGGACTTTTTTGTTCTCATGATCCCCCTCTTTGATCCTTAGAAGCAAAAATGTATCTTTTTTTTTTCCACCCCACTAGCCCCTCAGTTTGAGGTCAAAGCTCAGGGTTAGCAGGAGCTGAAAGTGATACAATGTCATGCTCTGGAATCTCTGGGGACTCTGGACTATTGCCAGTGCAACTCAAATCCTGGCATAAACCTTCAATTACAGCTGGAGCTGTTGTTGGTGCGCCGTCGTGTTATCTGCAGGTCCATGTCAGCAGAAATACTGACTTCCGCAAATCATTTCATGTTATTTTCTGCTTTGTTTCAGAAACACGACGGCCAGTTCACAGTGATCCAGCTGGTTGGTATGCTGCGCGGCATCGCCTCGGGTATGAAGTACCTGTCAGATATGAGCTACGTTCACAGAGACCTGGCGGCTCGAAACATCCTGGTCAACAGCAACCTGGTGTGTAAGGTGTCCGACTTCGGCCTGAGCCGAGTTCTGGAGGACGACCCCGAGGCCGCCTACACTACAAGGGTAAGACCTACTCGCTGTTTGCTACTGACCAAAACACGCTTTCTTCATTACAGTTCAGACACAAACTAAATCAGACACAAACATGATTGTCTTTCCTTGTGGCACTTTTACAATATAGTTGTTCCTAATAGATGTCCATCAAAACCTTGTGACTAAATGTATGTTGTCACTGTAGTAGTGGTTCTACAGAGTATTAACTTAAATAATAATATCGATATTGAAGATATACTGTTCACAAAACTAATTAATATACACAGTGAGGACAGAGGCAAAAAACAAGCCTCTAACTCTTTTGTATTTATGCAGTCAAATCAGTCTTTGGTGACTGCGGCATCCTCGCCTAGCCCTTAGTAAAACTATAGAAACTCAAACATCAATGAGCTAAACCACTGTGGAGTAACCCATCAAAAATGTCCACAAGGAGATGGCATTATTCATATTCATAAGAAAAGTTAGGGAAGTTATTCTTAATGTGGCATTAGCATTGCCCTAGGAGGAGTGGATCAGCCACTGACAGCTCTATAGCAATCACACACAAACTCCCACTGATGTCAATAGACCTAGATAGTGAGCTGCAGGCACTGATGGAGGAGGGTAGCAAAGGCGGAGATGGGGAAGAAACAGACAGAGGAGCCAGAGACCCAGGGAGGAAAAATGTGGGGAGAGAGAGTATGCGGGAGGGGAAGAATAGTGATCCAATGAGAGCAGTTAAGAGAAAAAACAAAAAGATGATGTTGGGTAGGGGTGGACAAGGGGAGTGGGGGAAACTAAAGTACAGTGCTGAGCAACTTGGCAGCTTTGTCTTTCATTTGACTTTCACCGAGCAGAGGTGGGGAATGCTAGGTGGTGCAGAGGCATCTTCCGCATGTTAAAAAGCCGAGACGAGCCTATAGAGGTGCGATGCCTGGGTGCGTCAGTGAACCAGGGAGGGTGGGGGTGCCTATACATACAGGGGGCTGTATGGGATCCTTTTGATCTGTGTGTCAACAACAAAGGCAGGAGGAGCTCAGGGAATTTATCCCCAAAACCTGATACACACACTCTTTATCCCACCACCTCTCTCATTAAATGAGAACAGACTGTAAGAACTGAGAGTTAGCATTTTCCACACAGAACAGCCAGAAGACTAACAATAGTGGAGCATTTTATTTTTACAATTCTAAACATGGAAGAAGCTTTATATTTTAAAACATCCCAACTTACCCAGGAAGCTGTTGTGTTGCTATTATATAAATTTGTGGGGGTTTCGCTTTCTGTGATAGCCCTCATGTAACACTGGTAATAAAAAAGCATAAACTGTTTTTAACTGTGCTAGGGATATTGCACTCACTTGTTATTTGGATTCTTAGACAAACTTAGAAATTGTTACATGACAAGACTTCACAAGAAATTCCATTTAAAGTTTGCATTGAGCCTCAAATGAGACATCATACCAGCACAATGTAGTCTGGTCAGATGTAAATAAAGTTAGGATTCAGGGTGTAAAGTAATTTCCATTGGAAAACTTGGTGGTGGCAGCATTGTGCAGCTCCTAAGCAGAGACAGGAAAAATGGTCAAAGCTGGATTAAGATTCAACTGCACTTCACTACAGCACAGGACTGAACTGATCCATGAATCTGTGTACTGACAGTACCTCCACTCTCAGAGGGCAAGAACATGTCATCCATTTAATGCTGACATGTTCGCAGCTTCATGTTGAATTTTGACTAGTCAAAACAAACAGGAAAAAGCATTTAAACTCTCCTTCGTCTAATGATTTCAGTGAAAGTACATTGTCAGTGCGGTGTGTTTGCAGGGAGGAAAGATCCCCATCAGATGGACGGCACCAGAGGCCATCGCATACAGGAAGTTCACCTCAGCCAGCGACGTGTGGAGCTACGGCATTGTCATGTGGGAGGTGATTTCATATGGAGAGAGACCGTACTGGGAGATGTCCAACCAGGATGTGAGTCCCAAACATGGAGAAACGTTGCACATTTTTAGACATTTCTAAACAATAAAAAATTATGACTGATCTCAATCAATACAAGATCAATAGATCTGCATTTCTTTCCCTGTGAAGGTGATCAAAGCAATAGATGAGGGTTATCGTCTTCCTGCTCCTATGGACTGCCCGGTGGTGTTGCACCAGCTCATGTTGGACTGCTGGGAGAAGGGGCGCAGTGACCGGCCAAAGTTTGGACAGATTGTCACAATCCTGGACAAGCTCATCAGAAACCCGGCCAGTCTCAGAGAGCTGGCCAACAGCTCAGTGTGGTCAGTGAAAACAAAGGATTTCACCGGATGAGAGTAGTGACAGTCTGAAGGTTTGACGTGTGGAAAAAAAAAAAAAATGAGACAGCTTTTGAAATCTGTAAGCCGAAAATGTTATTTTTCAAATATATTCTATTCTTTAAAGCTGTTTTCCAACATAATAACTAGTTCTGAAAGTAGAAAATGAAAGAATATAAGTTTGGAGGCTGGTATATCTTCCCTCTCCTTGTTCAATTTAGAGTTTCCGAATCCCCAGCTGAATTGCCCGCACCCAGAGAATATCATTATTTTTACATTTACATTTTACACCTCAGGCGCTTAGTTGATGTTCAGAATCAGTGCAGCATACAATGAATGTTTTTTTTTTTCAGAGACAAACGCTCTAAACAGAAAGTGGGGAGAAAAAACACAAGGCTCAACACAAACCAACAGACAGCAGAAGCTCAAAATTACTTCAGTTAAACCCCCAGAGAGTTTAGAAGAGACAGAATAAACCACAGGACCAGAAACACGTCTTACATTATCATCGATGGAAGTAATTTGGGGCAGATATGATGAGGAAAAAAAATACTAAGTGTAATTTAAAAACTTTACTGTTTATAATCTGGTCTTTGCTGGGTTTTAAAATCATATAAACTAACCTCAAGCTTGAAACATGCAGAAAGCACAGATTTGTGGATGGCATTAAATATTAAACACAATCAGACAAAAAGGTTTTTCCCCAAAATCCAGGATCCCTCCAAAATACATAAAACCCATTAATTTACTTTTCTACACTGAAATACACTTTTCACAGGGAGCACAAAGGTTTAATACATTAGAATCAAAACAAAGTATGTATTTATGTTTAAATGCAGATGCAACTTAATTTCTTAAATCTGGTTTTGGAATAAAATCACACACACCTGCAAAAAAATGACACCAGTTCAGACACAAACCAAGGCAACATGACACATCAATCTGTAAGCCTTCTTTGCTCTTCTGAAATCTTCACAATGGACAAAGAGCAACTTTTACTCTGTGCTACTCCACGTTTCACCTATTTCCACAAAACATTTTATTTCCATTAAACTTGCTTTGGACAAACTTGAATATTGCACTTCTTTAGCAATAAACACCTGAGGTTTACCCTTGTTGTGGAGAGCATCAGTTACTGTTCTACACAGCTTTCAAGTCAGAAATGACGTGGTTGTACAGACCATAACATACCATTTCTAACTTAAAAGTTTGTTTGTATTTATTATGATTATACTTTTTCAGAGAAATTGAAATATGGGTGTTTACTTGACTTGCATATTTTTTGGCGTAAATTCTGAGCAGCTACAACTACCATTGGATTGAAATATGCTTTCCATTTCAGCAGGGAGGACCCACCCACCCCAGAGTTCAGTGTGAGCACTGTGGATGATTGGCTGGACACCATCAAGATGGGCCAGTACAAGGAGAACTTTTCCAGTGCTGGATATGTCAGCTTGGACTCCATCCTCTATATCAGTGTCAGGTACAGACACATGGAGCCATATCCTGCTCAAATAAGCGCCTCTCATTCTGGGCCTCAATGTGTCCAGTGTTTTTGTGTAGGATGTACAATGTAGCGATACTAACAGTTTATTTATTGACCTCAACTTTAGCTTTACGTAAAAAACCCTCAAATTAAAACTGAGTTCAAACAAAACTCCAAATCAATCAGAAAAGAAAAAAAAAAAATCAATGCATGCCAATATGCATCCTTTGCAATTTACAGCATTATAATATCTTTGTTTTCCTAAATCTTTCATCTAGTGAACTGGCTAAGATGGGAGTGACGCTGGCTGGCCACCAGAAGAAGATTTTGTCCAGTGTGCAGAGCCTGCAAGCCCAGGGGACACACGTCCAAGTATAACAGTTTCCACAAAAACGCACAGAGACATAGCTGAACTGGACGCTCCTGTGGAGAGTCTCCCCCACTAAATGGAGCTGTAATAGATATTTTGTGCTTGGGTCTCCAATGACTTTTTTTTTTTTTTTTTTTTTTTTTTGAGGCACACTAAGATGGAGACAACAATGACTCTTGACTCCTTCACCCTCCCATAATCCTGGACATGCCTTTGGGCACTCAGAATCTGTCCAACACCGTTCACCATGTCAGGGCAGCACAGAGACAACAAAGCCGCACGCAGAGACTGTTTCACATCATGTAAACATAAATGAAGAAAAAGCAAAAAAAAAAATTAAATAAAATTAACATAATGACTAAAAAACTGAATATGATGCTCGTCACTGTTTGTCAGGTGTACAGTTGGCTTTCCTGTCATTTTGTTTGTTTTCTGTTTTCATAATGAAGGTTTTCAAAAAGGGTCAAAAGACGTGTACATGTGTAGATATATGTTTATATGGGCGGTGTATGCCACGAGCATAGAGATGGACCTAACGTTTGTATCTGTGGTTGCACAGCGTTAACAGCAGTTGTTGTAAATGTATGAACTCTTCCACTGGTGTCTGCTCAAAGAAAGCTAAGAGATTATGGATGACATGAATGTGAGGGGAGCAAGGAGATAAATAAATGGACCTGTAGACATACACTCCTGATCAAAATCTTAAGACCAGTCAAAAAATTGCAAGAATTTGCATTTAGCATTATTGGATCTTAAGAAGGTTCTAAGTAGAGCTTCACAATGTTAAAAGAAGAAATCAGCATAAGAGACAAAAACATTTGAGCGGGGAATTAATTGAAAACTGCATTTATACTCAAACATAATTTTTTCAGCTGATCAAAAGTTTAAGACCATAGCTCAAAAACCTCCAAAACCCCAAAACAGAAATCAAAGTGCCAAAAAAAAGGACTCAGTAATGAGTAGCTCCACCATTCTTGTTGATGACGTCAAACAATCGTTTAGGCATGCTTGATGCCAGTGTTTCCAGGAGGCTAGTGGGAACATTGCTCCAAGTGTTGAAAATGGCTTCACGAAGGGCATCCACTGTCTGGAACTGATGTCCATTTTCGTAAACTTCCCTTGCCATCCATCCCCAAATGTTCTCAATTGGGTTTAGATCCGGGGAACATGCAGGATGGTCCAAAAGAGTGATGTTATTCTCTTGGAAGAACTGCTTTGTCAGGCGGGCATTGTGAACTGCAGCATTGTCTTGTTGAAAAACCCAATCATTACCACACAGACGAGGGCCCTCAGTCATGAGGGATGCCTGCTGCAACATCTCCACATAGCCAGCTGCTGTTTGACGCCTCTGCACAACCTGAAGCTCCATTGTTCCATTGAAGGAAAACGCACCCCAAATCATGATGGCGCCCCTACCACTGTGCCGTGTAGAAAACATCTCAGGTGGGATCTCCCTGTCATGCCAGTAACGTTGGAAGCCATCAGGATCATCAAGCCAAAACTTTTTCTCATCAGAGAAGACAACTTTCTTCCACCTTTCAATGTCCCATGTTTGGTGCACCCTTGCAAAGTCCAAACGGGCAATTCTGTGGCGTTGAACAAGACGTGGCCTTTGAAGACGTTTTTTGTTTCTGAAGCCCTTCCCTTGCAGATGCCGTCTGATGGTTATCGGGCTGCAGTCGGCACCAGTAATGGCTTTAATTTGGGTAGAGGATCGTCCCTTGTCTTGACGGACAGCCAATCGGATCCTGCGGTTCAGAGCTGGTGAAATTTTTTTGGGTCTACCGCTTGACTTTTTTGTTCCATAACCCTCAGGGTCATTTAAAAAATGCAAAATGACTGTCTTACTGCGTCCAACCTCAGCAGCAATGGCACGTTGTGAGAGGCCTTGCTTATGCAGCTCAACAATCCTGCCACGTTCAAAGTCAGTGAACTTTTTTGCTTTTGCCATCTGGAGGTCTTGACAGTGTAAAGACTTCACAGAACATGACATGGAATCCAGATTTTTGCACAGCTTTTGGCTTTTAAAGACTATGGTCTTAAACTTTTGATCAGCTGAAAAAATCATGTTTGAGTGTAAATGCAGTTTTCAGAAAATTCCCTGCTCAAATGTTTTTGTCTCTTGCACTAATATTTTCTTTTAACATTGTGAAGCTCTACTTAGAATCTTCTTAAGATTCAATAGTGCAAAATGCAAATTCTTGCAATTTTTTGACTGGTCTTAAGATTTTGATCAGGAGTGTATAAGGGGGATGTAGATTTCGTTAGCTTGTGTAGGATGGAAGTATGTTTTAATAAGTTTATTTGGCCAGGAAAAGGGCTTCCTTACATACTGCTCTCAGACACACTTCCATAGAAAGTAGATCCAATATACGTATGCCTGTTTACGTGCACTTACTGTATGATGTTACAGACTGCAAAGAAATAACAGAACGTGCTGAAATGTTCCTCTTCCAATATCTTTGACAAAATAAACATAGTTTACAGAGCCTTGCAAAAGGATTCGTACCTCTAATTTTTTCACATTAAGCACAGGGTAGGGTCTTGCATTGGGATTTTTGCAAAGTTGTGCATAATAGTGAAGTGTAAGGAAAACAATGCAAGGTTTTTACTCTTTTCAAAACAAAACATGAAAAGTTTTGTTTGGATTCGTGTTCAGCCCCACTGAGTCTGTACTCAGTGGAATCAACTCTCACTAAAATTGTACCTGCGACTCATCTTCAGTAGGTCTTTTTCAGTCTTGCACTTGTAGATATGAAGGAATTCCCCATTTGATTTCAGAATAGATTGGACAAAAGAATGGAAAATGCGGTGTTCATGTTTATTAGCGGTGTTGAGAAAAGCAAAAATTTGGTCTCATCTTTCGTGAGCACCTTGTTCCCCGTCTACCGTTTCTTGTACATGCCTTGTGGCAAACTAAAAACTTCTTTCAGCTTTCTTCTTCCACTCTTTCATAAATGCTAGATTTGTGGAGTGAATGACTTGTAGTTATCATGTAGATAGATTCTTCCATGAGTTGTGGATCTATACGATCCATTAAAAGCCTATTCTGCTTTCTCAACAACTTTTTTCCAAATATCTCCTATGTATTTGTCTTTTTTAGGCTTTTTGTTCTCGGCTTAATTCATATTGAGAACACAGTGCACAGACATGAACTGAATTTTACTTTGAGCTCGTGAATACAAAGCAGGAAACATACAATTGTCCACAATACTTTTCACATTCTATTTGTGGAAATAAAAATCGAAAACCATAATTCTTTTTCTTTACACTGTGTGCTGATCCCAATGAAAATAATTACAGTTTGTGGTTATAATGTGGCAAAATGTGAAAAAATTCAAAGGGTCCAAGTCTTCTTGAAAGGCGTGCAAAGTATATTTGTTTCACAACATACTTTAAGGAGCAACTCATCTTAAGATGAAGCCTTCCAGTGTTTCAGGTGTGTTTAGACAGTCAAAGTGTTTGTGCGGAGCAAAGGCGATGCAAGCCAGTGACACTGTTGAGGACGTCTAACTTGATTTTACGGGTTTGTGCCATGTATGAAAAAGTTAATCTCAACGACATACCTTAATTCTAGCTGTGCACTTTCTTTTCCTCTGTCCTTATGCCTGGATGGCTACACAGTACTCTCATAATTATTACAGAGTTGTGTTTTCCAATGTCATTGCTTGATAGAATTGTCCCTTTATTGACAAGGTGAAGTGTTGAATTTCAGATGTGCCACCACATGAGGGTAAATCTTGCATAAAACAAATAACATTATTTTCTGTCTGATCTGTATTTTCTTAATTGCTGGTTACAGAGCTGTTTATATCCTCTTTATTTTCAGTCACTACCCATTGCTTACAAATTTACAAAACAATGTTTACAAGAATAAGCCAATACGTCTGTTGATATTTTTGCTCATGACATTAATTACATTCAAAGGGACCCTTTTCATGTTCATTGTGTTAATAGCAGTGAGACTGGATATAATGTTTTCCAAAACTCAGTTTTAATACATGTGGTAAACCATAGGACCAACAGTGACATGAAGTATAGTATTTGATTGTACCATAGTGTAAAATATGTACAGTGTTAATTTCCAATATTAGAATGTTTGTAATGACAACAATGACGATGACTTTGATGTGCTTTTAATATGAAAAAGAGATTTCGAGGTTTACGTTCAGGGGCGGCTCGTACTGGTGAAGAGTGAAGGTGAGGCGAACCATTAGACTGAACATGGAATGTAGCAAAGAGAAAAGCGACAGCTTTGAAAGACGGGACTGCAGGTTTTGTGACGGCGTTAGGACGAGTAGAATGAACTTTCAAGCTTGTTTTATTTGCATATCCACTTTAAACTTTAAGCATTTTTTTTCTGTTTTTCATTCAATTACTGCACAAAACCCCTCTTCAAAATGGATGGTGATTAAAAAGGAAAAAGTAATAAAAATTATTGCTGAAGCTCCCCAGGTACAACAGGTAATACAACTTTACATTTAAAATAGAAAAGATAGAAAAGCCTTGTAAACAAACTTAAAATATATAGAGTAAAAAAGTTATCTTATTTTTGAGAAAATAGCACAGTTTGACTAATTATTAGAATTCAGCATGTTACATCAAGTATTAAAGGTATATTAATCCCTAAAATATTATAGAAGCTGTAACTTAATTGATTATATTGAAACCAGAACAATTAAATGCAGCTTCCTGTACAAATAACAAAATCATATGCAGATTTTCATGTTAATGTTAACTTAAAAAATAAAAATAGAACATTTCAAGTAAGTTCAGCTTGTTAGTTTGAAATTAAAGGCTTATTTTTTCTTCTTTATGATGGAAATTAGGAACTCACATTTTTGGGATACACCTAGCTGTATTCCAAAAACTAAGCGTTTAATGTGATGGAGGATTCAAGGGCCATTAAGTGATAATTTTTTCTGCTCATAAAAATGTTCCACCATAAAAGAAAATCATTTTCCATTTATTTTTCTGTCCTTTCAAACAATTTTCATATTTCTTATGCAGCATAAGTCAAAGTCCTGGAAAATGGGATTAAGTAAAACTGTTCATTCTACTCTTCCTAACTCTATAATTACACTCCAGCGGCCTATTTGGGACTGCTGGCCTTTTAGATGCCTTATTTACTGAGTTATATACTTTCCACGGTCATATAGAGATGATATTAAGAGAAAAGTGTATATACAGGTTGTATTTATTTGCATTACTTAAGGTGACCTCACATTAGCACCCTTGTGAAACATCGCAGAAACCTCCACATAGCCACCCCTTGGATTCCTTCAAGCAGAGAACAACAGTTGTTTTCTAAAATAATGTTAGAGAATCTTAAAGCTCCCAACCTGAAAAACAAATGAAAGAAGTAGGAAGTGCGTTTGTTTTTCATAGTTCAAATAATTGGCTGACTTTTTTTTTTTTTAAGTCTTCATAACATAATTGTTTTAAAATGAAAAACTCCACAAGGAGTTTTTCATTTCAATTAATGGACGTGTCTTCAATTAATGCCTCAAAAATAAAGGAAATCATTAGCGTGCTTTTTGTGTTCTTATTCAGCACTTCCAATCCTTTTCATGAATCCCACATCACTGTCAATCCACACCTTGCCAATTGAAGCTGTGTGGGCTGGTTCTCTTGATCTGAAATGCTGTGTTTGTTTCTGTTTTCCACCAGGTACGTACGTTAAATGTTCATCAGTTTCTCAGTTGATGTTTTCAGTCGAATCTCTCTCTCTCTCCTCCCTTGGCCATCCCTCTTTTCTCTTTTGTTGCCCTCCAATAAAGGTTATTTGTTCCTA